CACTGGCTCCCCACCTCCGCCCTGTCCAGAGGCACTGGATCCTCAGAGTAATCACCCTGGGAGGCCTGCACTCTAGGAAGGCCATAGGGGCCAGACTCCAGGGATGCCTCTATGGGGGAGGAGGAGGAGAGGACGGGCTGTGGTGACAATGACTACACACTGACACACTGCCTGTGGCACTTGGCACGAAGTACTGTCATTCTTTCAACAGACACTCACCAAACACTTACTTTATGTAAGTGTTGCTTACCTTGTGCCCCATGGGAGACATAGGAAACTCCTAGATAAGACCTTTGAGTTTGAGGAGTTTACAGACAAGACAGAAAGCAAGCCATGCTCTTTTTTTTCCATTTATTTATTCATTCATTGAACACAATTGTTCCCCCTTTTTAAATGCCCACTGCTTCAGTCACTGTGCTAGGCACTGGAGGTTCTGAAAGGAATTATGCAATCCAGCTAGAGAGCAAATAGGCAAGGTATGCAAGTCTTGAATTATGTGGTACAATATGAGTTCCACAGGATTTCAAAAGAGGCCCCAAGTCATTCTGGCTTGGTGTTTACTCTAGTCAGAGCAATAACCAGTCCCTGAATCCTCTTTTGCCCTCTGCAGTCTATTCTTTAAACAGCAGCTGGAGTAATCCTGGAAAAACAGGTCAGATCATGTTGGGTTTCTCTGCTCAAAAGGTTCCCTCTAATGGCTCCCCATCTCACTCTCAGTGAATTCACAGTCCTTATAATGTCCTACAAGGCCCTACACCAGCACTGGGAAAGCTAAACAGGGGATGGAAGTGATTCAGAAATGATCAATAGCAAGACTAACTCTACAAGTCATAGATGGAGGGACAAAGGGAGGAAGCAAGTTACTAGGGCCAAGGAGCCAGGGTCACCAATGGAAACTGGAGCTCTGAAATAACCCCAGTGCAGAGAGGGAGAGGGGGAGATAGCCCTCCCTTTCTTCCTCTCCCACCTAATTTCCCACCAGGTCTCCCAGTGGCCAATGTGAGCTGAAAGTTACTGCCTGAGGGAATTTCTGAAACTGAAACAAGGCAACCCTGCAGGGGTTAGCTCCACAAGTGATGATGACAGGAGGAATAGATCAGGGGCAAATAGGCCTAGTACTAAGACCTTCCCAGACATGTTACACTAAAACTGATGTATAAAATGTACCTGCTGTCTTCCTTAAATATGCAGGCTGAGGCCAAGAGAGTAGATGTGGAGGAAGCAGGGTCTTGTAGCATGAAGAATGACTGGGTGAAGGTTAAACTTTGTTGCATATAATCACTCCCAGTGAAATCACTTCCAGGCAAACACCTGGAAGGCAGGAGCTCACAGGAGTCAATCTGTGAGTCAGACTGTGGAAAAGAAAGACCCTTTGAAAGAAGCCCCAGAGCAATGCAGACCTGGGAGGAGTTCTCTGTTTCAAGGTTGGGAGATCAGGGACACTGTGAAAAGAATACTGAGCTTGGTCCAAAGGCCTGGTTGTGAGTTCTGCTTCTGTCTCTGATTGGCGGTATTAACTTGGTGAATTACACCTTTCTGAACTTCAGTGTCATCATCTTCTAAACGTAGATAACAGCATTTCCTCTTCCATAAGCCTGCTTGAGAGATAATGAATATAGAAAAAGAAATGTCAGTTATTGGATTGAATTCTTCAGAAGCTCCCCATTGTTTTAAAAGTAATGTCCAAACTCTTCTGCAAGACACACAAGGCTCTTTAGGATGTGGCTTCTGCCTACTTCTTTCATTCCATTTATCATAACTTCCCACCCCTGCAACTCCACAGACAAGCCAGACTGAACCATTTGCGATTCCTAAAATTTTGCCCTCTCCTAGTCCTTTCTGAAGGAAGTATGTTCCTGGTATTTCTTTGCCGGCTAATTCCTGTTCTTTAAAGCTCAGTCTAGGAAGCACCTCCTGCAAGTAGCCTTCCTTGATACAACCTCTCCCTGGCCCCCTTCATGTGGGTCAGGTATTCTTCTTTTATGTTTTCAGAGCACCCTTTGCACCCTCCAATCCTAGCATATCCAACAGTTGATTGAAATCACAGTTTCATACGGTCCTTGTTATGAGACAGCAGTTCCTGGAGGGCAGGGACTGTCTTTCCTAGTTCTCTCTCTCCTGGACCAGACACATAGTAGACCTTGAGAGCTGGCAGTCAAGTGAAGAGTGAATGAATAAATGGTAGTACAAACTTGAGGAGTCGATGATGAACAACACATTTATATTTCCTTCTTCAAAAAATATATTTTTGGCCGGGCTCGGTGGCTCAGCCTGTAATCCCGCGCCTTTGGGAGGC